AATATGTACCCTTTAATACTGATTCTTAGTCAAAGCCTACTATATTCAATAGTATGTTGTGCTGTTTTGTGTTAAATTTTGTTCCTGATTATTTAAGCAAATTTCTTTTCTTTGTTGGTGACATGATTAGGTACGGCTCACCATGATTGCAAGAATGGCCAAACCCGAAGAGGTAAGGAAATTTGGATGCTATTGAAATCAAGCATGCCAAGAATAATTAATTTCAACTCCCTATATTTTTTATTTTTTCTACACAGGTTCTAGTGGTTGAAAACGATCAAGGTGAAGTTGTCAGGGAATTCATGAAGGATACAGATGCTATCAACCTCTACAAGAATATGAGGGAAACCTTAGGTGAATATTATGATTAAAGATGAACTATGCAAATGTTTTACAGATTTTGTAAATAAATGAATTCAAAGATACTGCAAGGTGCAAAAGTCATTATGATGAGATGTGGAAAGCTTGCTAACTGTTGTTTCTTGTCACATGCTTAGTTTACCTCACCCATTTGGATTATCAAGACACCGAGAGAATAATGACTGAAAAATTACAGAATCAAGTGAATGGCACTGAATGGTCGTGGAAGAATCTCAACACGGTTTGTTGTGATTTATTCAGAGATTTTTATACTAGCAGTATTATGAAAAAAGATATTTAGAATTATTCTTTGTGTGTTTAGAGTATGGCAAGCCAATTGTAGCAATATTCAACACTAAAATTCAATGAAAAGTCAATTTCAAGTCAATGAAAATCCAATTTCAATTCAATGAAAATTCAAGTTCAATTCAATGAAAATTCAATGAAAAAAAAAAATACATTCAAAATTGCTTCCGGTTAGTGACAGGAAATGATAACTAGCATACGGGAACTTTCAGGCTTTATGTTTTCGTGCGGTAAGTTTTAACTAGCATCATGGCAGATGTAGAGCCAGAATTTGACATGAAGAAAGACTTACCTGAATTTTTATTGTCAGTGCTCGAAAGAACAGAGCAGTGTAAACATGAAAATGAAACGGATATCAATGACTTGCAAGCACAATCTGTAGTTCTTGATCGAACCGTTAGTCTTTTGAGTTCTATTGCCTTAACTGACATTGAGCAAGATCGGATCGAGTGGGAATCTCTAGCTACTGCTTTTTGTTGTTGTTCCTCCCGTGACATTACCAGTTGAACATCAGTCAGTTCAAGCCAGGGTTCTCAAGCGGATCGATCCACTC